GGGACCAGAGTGCCTGCCACCAGGGGTGGGGCGGAGAAGGGGATGTTCAAGTTGTGCCTGGAAGGAGGACAGGAGTCTGCCAGGACAAGAGGAGGCGGGCATTCCAGCCCGCGGGAACCGCACGTGCCAAGGCTGGGAGTCCTGGCAGAGCACGTGCACTCAGGTTGCAGGGGCTCCCCAGCACAGTGACCCAATGTGTTGGGCGACAAGGGGGGAGAGAGCTGGGGCCAGCAGAAGGCCCTCCCAGGACCCTGAGGGGTTTGGGCTTAAACAGGAGAGGGCTGGGCAGGGTCCTCTGGAGGGGGTTGATGAGGGCAGATGCGCCCTTCAGGAACGGGACTGGTGGCCTGTGGAGCACCCACTGGAAGAGGAAAGACAGCAGGCGTCCAGGCCGGTGGGGAGGCTCAGGGACTAGCAGGGGCCCCACACTATGAGGCCGGAACTCAGGAAGTAGCAGTGGGGTCAGGAAGAGGAGCATTTATTCTGATCAGGCGTTTGGGATGCAAGGCCCCAGGACTTGGTCATCAAGTCAAAGCCTAGTGAGGGCGCAGGGATCTCGAGGAGCCCAGAGGCCTCCACTCAGACCCCTGAGCCCCTAACTGAGTGGTCCAAGATAGGAGACAGCTCTGACAGGAAAGCAGGCTTTGTGGGGGACACGTCAGGTCTGAGGAGCAGCAGGAAAGAGGGGGGATGTTCCTTCTCACCTGCAAAGGCCATACCAAGTCCGCCCCTCAGGACCCCACTGGCACTCCCAGGGTGGCTTGGAGGAAGGAGACCCTAACACTCTGGCCGCAAGACTCAGCCTAGAGGCCCCGCCCTCTCCTCGCCTCCGCGTCTCCCGGGGTCCATTCAGAGGGTCAGCTTAGGTCGACCTTGGACTCCTGCTACGGGTGCAGCGCGCACCGGGCGCCAAAGTCACAGGAGTCAAAAGGGCACTGCCTGGCCTCCGCCACCGAGCCAGCCTAGCCCACCCACCACGCGGCGCCCACGGCCCAAAGCTCCATCCCTGCCAGCCCCGCCCAGCTCCTCCCTGCCCCGCCCCCGCCCTTTCTCACACCTCGGCCTCCTCCTCGCCAGCGTTCCCCCAGCTCCTCCCCCGCAGCTCTTTCTCCCAGCTCTGTCCCATAGGTCTTCCCCAGCTCCTCCTCACTCACCTTTCGCCCAGCTCCTCCCCCAGCTCTTTCTCACAGCTCCTCGCCCAGCTCCGCCTTCACTTCCCATAGCTCCTCCTCCCTCAGCTCTTTCCCACAGGTCTGGCCCCCCTACTGCTCCCTCAGCGCCACCCAGCCCCGCCCCCAAGCTCCACGTGCCCCGCCCCTCCCTCTCCGTCCAGTTCCTTTTCCCCAATCCCGACCTGCTCCGGGCAGCTGGTCTCGAGCTCCGGACTTGGCCCGGTCGTCCCTCGGGGCTCAGGGCCCGGTGAGTCCATCAACGTCTCCTACTGGCCAGGGCCTGCGTGCGTTTGTGCGTGTCTACGTCATTGCGTGTCTCCGTCACGAGCTGGCTGCGTGCTGCGTGCTGCGTGCTGCGTGCGTACATACGTGTTGCGAGCCAGTGTACGCCTCAAAAAAGGGGCGTCAGCGTCTGAGCCAGGGCGGCGCGGTAGAAGAGCGGCGGCGCCTGTCACCTGTCGGCGGCCCTGGGTCTCCAGTTCCCGGGCGGCACCGGTGGCGGCGGCAGCGGCGCAGCCACCACGCGGGCCGGGCGCTCTGTCCTCTGACCGCGGCGCACGTCGTCTCCTCGCCTGGGCGTGGGAGGCGGTCGTCCCACCGCTGGCGGCCTTGGCAGGCCACGGGGAGGCGGAGGATTGTCTTGCCCAGTGGCCTCAGCCGGGTCGGCCCAGCGCGCCCGAGACTCGCTTGGCCGGTGGGGCCGGGAGCCGTGAGACCCGCACCGCCCGAAAGCATCCAGGACTCAGCCCTCCGCGGGACGGTACCGCTGGGCTGGGGTTTCCCGGGCCGTGGGGCTGGGAGCACGCGCAGGGCACCCGAGGCCGCACTTCCCTGTCCCTTCCTCCTGCCACCTTCCCACGCCCGCCATCCTCTACGTGCGTGTGGACCGGCAACGTGCATCTGTGCTAGAAACGCGAGTGTGCTGGTCCCCCTGCACCGCTAGGTCCGCCCTCATGCCTGCCCTCCCGCTTGGCCCTTCGGCTGTGACCTCACCCAGGCCACGGGGTCTGCTGGGCTGTCAGAACATGTCCCACTCCCATGAAGCGGTTTTCTGTGCTGCCGCTGGGGCATTATGTGGTCCTGGACCCAGCAAGGGGAGGAGAGACCCACTGCCGTGGTGAGCAGAACCAAACCAAGAGTGAGCTGTTTCCCTCCTGTTGGACCCTCCTCGGTCCCGCTGGCCTCCAGTCCCTGCTGAGTAGAAGACTGTTCTGCCATGTTAGCCTACGTTGCTGTCTCCTACCTGATGACCTTGTCTCATTATCCTTCTTGTCCTTGTGCAGGTGAAGAAGCTGAGACAAGAGGAACAGCCTTTCCTCCTCAGGCCACCAAGCAGGTACTCTCTGCCTCATGAGGCAGGAGGGCACTCAGCCCCCTTCGTGTTTTTACAGTTACCTCAGTTCTCTCTAGGGATTCCACCCGCGCAGTTCAGGTCTCCTTGTTGTGATTTTGTCCTGCTGCTGAGAAAAGGGCCAAGACACCAAGTGGCAGAAACTAGGCAAACCTGCAGTCCAGTCATCGACCCCAGGAGAAGAAATAGAAATGGCCAGGCCACAGGGGGACGGCCAGCTTCCCTCGTAAATAATCCAATCCCAATGAATAGGGCGACCCTTTGTCACCCATCAGGTT